ACATGGGTTCAGACTGAGAGAGGGCAGGTTTAGACTACATATCAGGAAGAAATTATTTACTATGAGGCTGGTGAGGCGCTAGATCAGCTTGCCCAGAGAAACTGTGGATGCCTCATCCCTGGAGGTGTTGAAGACTCGATGTGGCTTTGAGCAACCTCTTCTAGTAGGAGGTGTCCCTGCCCGTGGCAGGGGAGTTGGAACTGGATGGTCTTTAAGGTCCCTTTCAACCCAAACCATTCTGTGATTCTACGGTAATGTAGAAGAGTGTAAAAGGGAGCTGCTTATTTCTTCACACTTCTCCACTCAAGACCAAACCTATCCCTTTTACAAATGTTTATTGTCTGTATTTGCACCAGCTCCTGTAGGAAACTTGTCATGTACATACTAACCATCCAAATGAAGCTTCAAGCGACAAAAAGCCATGCATTTTAAACAGACAAGCAGACAAACATGCATTACTCATAAAGTCATGTTTAGCAGCATTCCAAGAGAAACCTCTTTCAAGGTGGTTTTTGTTAGGGGGTTTTTTTGGTTGTTTTTTGTTGGTGGGTTGGTTTTTTTTTTTTTTTTTTGGTCTTAAACAAATGTGTTTTGTCTTGCATTCAAATTAATCTTGTTAGAGCTTCACCTTTCTTGCCTCACTGCTCTCATACTTGCCTCTCAGGCCTCCAAAGAGTTAGGAGGCATTCACATATTCATATCACATGACACTATGGAAAAAAATATATGCAAAGTTCTGGGGACTGCCACTTTCACAACAAATGCCTCTGGTGGCATTTTGCAGTCTGCATCACGTGAAGGGTAAGAGGTTGCCTTACAGATACAGCACAGATTCCTTCCAAAAGCACACACCCACTGCTTTTGTCTGTCATTCTAAGATCTAATACCCTCTTTTAGCTCATAAGTAAATTTTTGTTCAGCTCTGTTTTGCAAAAGGTCATCAGATCCACTGTTGGAAACATGGAAACTGATATGGCCTCTTTTTGGGGAGGTTGTTTCGTCAGTAAGTTTCCACCTATGACCAGTGGCACAAAAAAGTGAACCCAAAATGACTGTAAGTCCCACAGAGAGGAACAATATTTTTGCTTGCATACAGAATGTGGGGATGAATACTTAATGAAGGCTGGCCAAACTGCATAAAGGCGGAAGGGAATCACATACAATTTCCTCTGGAAGCCGCTTGTGTGGAGTGAGGGCCTGAAAGCCATCAGGACAGCCCCGCTGCTGCGCCATCCTACAGCAATCTGGGAGCACAGTCCAAGCCCACCCCATGATGCAAACCAAAACAAGGATAAAGGGGAACCATCTCCAGAACACTCCTGACCCGAACTATGACATTGCTTCTGCTGCATTCCAAAGGAGAACTCCAGTAACTGGCATAGAATAATAGAATCATAGAATGGCTCGGGTTGGAAGGGACTTTAAAGACCTAGTTCCTACCCCCCTTGCCACAGGTAGGCACACATCCCACTAGACCAGGTTGCTCAAAGCACAGTGATACCCCAATTTTTTTCCCTCCTCGTTTTACCTCTGGTCCCCTGGCAGATCTGAGCAGTCCCTCCAGACAAGAAGTCCAGCAACACTCAGAGATTTCTGATTTGACAAAAAAAACCCCAAACATTTCTGTAGAAGAGGAACTGCTCTGTGAGGCAAATCCTTTCCATTTGTGTGAGGAAGGAGTGGAGAAGAGCCTCGTTTTCCTGGGACAACAAAAATTTTTCTAGAAATTTCCAGTCATGCCCTGCCCTTTTGAGGAGACCAAGACTTTGTCGCTACATTTATCTTTATAGGGTTATTGTTTCTGCTCACAAGCAGTTCACTGAATACAGGAAACCAGATCTGCCCTTTTTTGTGTCTTCTGAGTCCCCCACCTGAGGATGGAGTCAGGAAGTTCCCACATTAATAATCACAGAGAATGGGATTCAGCTTGGACATGTAAGTCTGTGCAAAGAGAAGAGGAGGGAAGAAGGGAGAGGCTACTCAAGGGCTGAGGCAGATTCGGCTTTACGCTGACACACAAATTCTTTAAGCCACGAGTGACGCACTGCAAGCCTGAACTATGTTCCTGCACAGGGGAAGGGTTAGGGTGAAGAGGGGACCTACACACCCACAGTCAGACGCTAAAGGGCTCCCAGCAGAGCCTGCAAGCACAAGGAGGGGAGTTTGGGTCAGGCTACCCATGGAAAGCACCTTTGCCTGCGTGTGGCTGCCCCTCTTGACCTGACCCAGCTTGCCTGGTCTGTGCTAGGGGGGTACATTCCTCCCTCTCCAGCCTGCCTTCCACTTCCATTGTGCCTGGGTACCAGGACCTGGTTCCACGACATTTAGAGATGCTATTGAGAAACACTGAAAGCCAAGAACTTTCCACTGCTGATAAACTGTCTGGCCCAGAGGATGGGATCAGGCTCTTCCAATGGGCATCTGGGATTCACTTCTGTCCAAAATGAACTGATGACTCCCTTTTAGTCCAGAAGGTGCCTTGGAAACTCATTCTTTAGCCAAGTGGAACATGCTACCCAACACACAAGGTTCCAATGCCTAAACATTCGGAGGGAGGGGGGGGTAAGGACTCGGCTGTCAAGAGTCTTCTTCTTTATGAAATTTTAAATGTTCCAAATTCTGCATACTTTGTAACTATGCTTTTCTTACTCTGCAAACAGATTAACCCAGACCTAAAAGAACAGCTGAACAATAGATTTGGTGGATCCAAAAGGTTACGCACCAGCGATCACTCTGTGCCCACCTGCACACAGAACACAGCTCCTTGCCCAAGCCTGGAAACCACATTCTCAGCTGCTACACTTGGCCATAGCATGACTGATGTCAATGGAGGCCAGCCAGCAATCCCACTCCTTCAGAGAAACTGGCAAATCCCTCTGCCACCTGGGGCTGGGTGTAAAGAAGGTCTGGGGAATAGTATTTCTTCATCCAAGGCAAGCATCCTGCAACAGTGATGTTTAAGGATTGCCTGTGTTACCTTTTTCCAGTATCTTGGCCTGTTTTAGGCCTTTCTACATACAGAGGTTAAAGGTTTTCTGACACTGGTATTAACTTCATGATCATATTAAACCCTGTTACATTAATATGTTACAATAAGTGGTTAGTGATTAGATTAATAGACCTTCTTTTCCTTTTAAACAAAATTTTCACACCAAAATCCACACTCAGATTCCAGTGCAAAGGGAGTGTCTATCCAGACCATGAACAGTAGGTCTGATCTTTTGTGAGTATTAAAGTCACTGGGACACTCTACATTGTATTCATTTATAACTGCAGAAACTTGGAAAAGGTGCCATAATTCCAGAAACCTTTCCTCCCTCTCTTTATAGTCACTCCTGAAGCTATAAACCAATGCCATCTACACCTCTCCTCTTTCTAATAGCCATAATCAGTGTGGATTTATCAACCAAAAGTTTAGTTGCAAAGATTTTCCATAATTCCAATTTCCCCGTACAGCTTCTTCAAAGGGAAAAAATATTCCCCCTTATTCCTCCAGTGAAGAAACGCAGCATCAACTCAGTCTTTGGTTCCAAGCCCTATAGCAAAACTCTCAGATTTGCTTCAAAATAACACTGCCTTAAAACTGAGGCAAGCTATGCATCCCTTCTGCATACCTTTGCATCCCTGACTGCCCCGAGCTTTTACACTGTCATTTATCAATGAAGCAATTACATCCAAGTTAATAACCGCTTAGCAAAACCAGCAAAGGAACATTAATTAAAACAAAATGACGCCAAGGCTTGTTCTTCTCCACTGACCATTGCGTGGCAGGCAAAACCATAAAAAAGAGGAATGTCATGACAGTCAGAAAATAAATCGGCAAGAAAAATTTGCCTGCATTCTTCTTGTGTCAAATCCACACGCACACTCTTCTGATGGAAGGAGGGGGGAGAAAAGCAGGTAGCGACAGCAAAAGAGACCAAAACCGCCACTTCGGCACCAAACATACTTTCAATCAGGGGGTTTTGAGGGGAAAAAAACCACACCCACAGGTGTGCTCAAGCAGCACGCTGCCACCTGCCAGGGGACAGGAGGGCACTTGCCCATGAGC